GGTCAGACTAGATGACCATAATGGTCCCTTCTGACCTTAAAGTCTATGAGTCTATAGTGACAGATGATGTGAACAAAATTGAAGTACTCAATGATTTTTTTTGCCTCGGTCTTCACAGACAAGGTCAGCTCCCAGACTGCTGCCCTGGGCAACACAGTATGGGGAGGAGGTGAGCAGCCCTCAGTAGTGAAAGAGCTGGTTAAGGACTATTTAGAAAAGCTGGACTTGCACAAGTACTTGGCCATTGGCCATTATTTTTGAAAATTCGTGGTGATCGGGGAAGGTCCCGGATGATTGGGAAAAAGGCAAATATAGTGCCCATATTTTAAAGAGGGAAGAAAGAGAAACCAGGGAACTACAGACCGGTCAGCCTCACTTCAGTCCCCAGCAAAATCATGGAGCAAGTGCTCAAGGAATCCATTTTGAAGCACTTGGAGGAGAGGAAGGTGATCAGGAACAGTCAACATGGATTCACCAAGGGCAAGTCATACCTGACCAACCTGATTGCCTTCTATAATGAGATAACTGGCTCTGTGGATTTGCGGAAAGCAGTGGATGTGATATATCTTGACTTTAGCAAAGCTTTTGATATGGTCTCCCACAGTATTCTTGCCAGCAAGTTTAAAAAAGTATGGATTGGATGAATGGACTATAAGGCAGATAGAAAGCTGGCTAGATTGTTGGGCTCAATGGGTAGTGATCAATGGCTCGATGTCTAGTTGGCACCCAGTATCAAGCGGAGTGCCCCAGGGGTTGTTCCTGGGCCAATTTTGTTCAACGTCTTTATTAATGATCTGGATGATGGGATGAATTGCACCTTCAGCAAGTTTGCAGATGACATTAAACTGGGGGGAGAGGTAGATATGCTGGAGGGTAGGGATAGGGTTCAGAGTGACCTAGACAAATTGGAGTATTGGGCCAAAAGATGATTTATTTGGTGTTGGTCCTGCTTTAAGCAGGGGATTGGACTAGATGACCTCCTGAAGTCTCTTCCAACTCTAATATTCTATGATTCTATGTTATGCTTTGACTTATAATCACTTAAAATTTATCTATGTAGTGAATAAATCTGTTTATTCTACCTGAAGCAGTGTGTTTGGTTTGAAGCGTGTCAGAGACTCCCCTTGGGATAACAAGCCTGGTACAGATCAATTTCTTTGTTAGGTTGATGAACTCATATAAGCTTGCAGCGTCCAGCGGACATAACTGGACACTGCAAGACGGAGGTTCGTAGGGTTGTGTCTGGGACCGGAGATATTGGCTAGTGTCATTTGGTTGCACAATCCAAGGAATAGCTTACATGCCAGCGGCCAGGGTTCTCACAGCAGAGCAGGGTAAGGCTGCTTCCCAGAGTCAAGGATTGGCGTGACCTTGCAGATCACCTGTCCGGATAACACCAGAGGGGAACATCACACGTGTATTCCTAGTAACAGGGACTCATATGCCTCTGACTCATAGAGCAAAGCAGTTGATAGAAAGGATCTTTGGGGATTCTCCCCGAAGAAGGGCAAGCTGCAAAAAGCAAAACTGGACCACTCACCTGGGGGAGCTGAGACCACAATGAATATTAAAGAACAAAACCTAATTAGTGTCAGTCCTAGAAAAGGGTTTTATGGTGTTGATCACCCTTTGGCTTTCTCTGATGCTAAATAAGGTGTGACCCCTCATGGAAGCTTTTCCCACACTCAGAGCGTCTATAGGGAGTTCATGCTGTTTGGATCATCTAATGTCTCCTAAGGTCTGAGCAGTAAATGAAAGTTTTCCCACACTCACATTCATAGGGTCTCTGTCCTTTGCAGATTATCTAATGATTAATAAAGGCTTCTCTATCAGAAACATTTTTTCTATACTCACAGCATTCACTGGGGCTCGCGCCTGTGTGGATTCTCTGATGTCTGATAAGATCTGAGTGCCGAGTGAAGGTTTTCCCGCACTCACAGCATTCATAAGGTCTTGCGCCTGTGTGGGTTCTCTGATGGCTGATAAGGGTTGACCGTCGAGTGAAGGTTTTCCGGCATTCACAGCATTCATAGGGTCTCTCTCCCGTGTGGATTCTCTCATGTATAATAAGGTGTGAGCGCAGAGGGAAGATTTTCCCACATTGAGAGCATATGTTTTTTCTCTCTCCCTTGAGGATTCTCTGCTGAGCAGCGGTTTCCTTGAGGTTGTTTTCCTCACAACTGATGGATTTGCCCACTTCCTCCCCTGGCTGGTTTCCCTGCTGCATCACCTCATGACTCCAGGACACATTTCCTTTAGTTCTTCGTGATAATCCCCCGCACAGTTCCACATGCTCAACATCTTCCTTCTCTGGATTCTCCTCCTTGTTCTCACTCACTACCCCATCGTCTCCTGGGACAGAGAAAGAAACCTCAGAGGCAGGGATGGAAAAGGGAATAGGAAACCAAAGGAAGTGCTGGAGAGATGGGGGGAAGATCAGGAAATTAATTCCCCCCAACTCTTCCCCAGAGGGGAGAGAGAAAGGAATCAACTCTGTCTCCACATCCCATCCCAACACTCAGGATGAAGGGAGGTTAGGAAGTGAGCTATTGCCACGTATCGATCGGGATGGGTAGGAAGGCATGAGCAATATCTGCCTTAACTATATGACACCTGCTGGGAGATAATCCTGAACTCAGAGAGCTCAAAAGGTCTTGGTAGCTGTTTCCTTCAGGCACAGACAGTATTTCTTTGGTCTAATGATTCCTCACCTGTGCAGGTTCTTCTCAGGATCTCTCTTTCCTCTGAGCCCTGGAGATCTGAGACCCACAGTTCTTCCCCTGGTTCCAGCTGGGATATCACCTCAGGTTTGGAAACTGGAAACCCTGCTCAGATGACAGAAAACAAGTAACATGAGGTGAATTCATAGGACATTTAGCATAAAGAACATGCCTTTTGCTAACCCCTGCTCATTTTAAAGCACTGAAATTCTGGAGCTAACAGTCCAGTGATCAAAGGTGCCAGACACTCTGCTTATAATGGGATTAACTCTCCACCGCTCTGCTGCCACGCACACTCCTCATCAAAGGGGCTCCTAAAATGCAGAGAAAGTAACTCTGAATCACTGAAAGCCAAGGGGAAGTCACCTTGGAAATGCTTCTTACCGACAGAGAGACCGCAAGGGAATGAGACAGTCGTAGGGGAACTGGGACTGGTGACCATGAGCTTGCAGGGAATGGGAAGGAGTGGGGAGATCACTTAGTGCAGCATGTCAGGGGTGTTAGGGATCAGGAAAGTACATTTTGAGAAGTTAGAAAATATAGCGAGTCAGGTGTAATGGAAAGGAGCATGAAAATCCCCCAGTGCTAAGTTGCCCTTGCTGCACATTAAAATACAGTGCAGTCTGTCAACCAATTTTACACCCATTATTATAACAATTTCATCTAGACCCCATTTCCCTAGTTTCCTTATGAGAATGGCATGTGAGCCCGTGCCAAAGGACTAACTAAAATTAAGATAAGGCAAATCTGCTGCTTCCCTGTAATACCCTAGGCCAATAACATTATCAAAGAAGGAAATTAGGTTGGTTTGGCATGATTTATTCTTGACAAATCCATGCTGCCTATTCCTCATAATGCTATAATCCAGGTGCTGACAAACTGATTGTTTAAAAATATGTTCCAGTATCTTTCCAGCTCTCAATGATAGACTGACTGATCTATAATTCCTCTGGTCCTCTTTGCTCCCCTTTTCAAAGACAGGTACTATGTTTGCCCTTCACCAGTCCTCTGGGATTTCACCTGTTCTCCATGAATCCTCAAAGATAATTGTTAACGGTGCTGAGATTACCTCAGTTAGTTCCTGAAGTACCTAGAGTGAGGTTGGGGAATTAGATATTATAACTCAGTAGCTACAGACTAATTCCTCTGGAAAAGAGAATATGAAAAGTAAGAATAAGACCGTGTGATTTCGGGAAAGACTTCCTCAAAGATCTAAGGAACTAGCAGGGAAGAGAGACTGTGGCTACTGCAGCTAGAAAGGGGGGAGCAAGACCTTCCAGGTCCCCAGAAGTTTCATTACCAGCCTATGACATCATCAAGGAAATGTGCATTTATGGCAGGGAAGGAGACACCTAGGAGGTGACTGGGAGGAATATGAGCAATCAGAATGGAGGCTGGGGTCACAGTGTGTAGGGAATAGGAGTGGGAGGCGGGCAGGGCAGGTAGGCACTGATCAGTGGAGAGAGAAGAATGAGAATCATAATATTTGAGATGATATAAAACAAAGTGAAAGTGGACTCTTATTAGAATGAAGTGCAGGCTCTACAGCAGCGGAGCAGGGGTGGCCAACCTGAGCCTGAGAAGAAGCCAGAATTTACCAATGTACATTTCCAAAGAGCCACAGTAATATGTCAGCAGCCCCGCATCAGCACCCTCCCCGCCCTGCTCCCAGAGCCTCCCACCCACCAGCAGTGCTGCCGATCAGCACCTTCCCCTCCCTCCCCGCACCTCCCTATCAGCTGTTTCTTGGCATGCAGGAGGCTCGGGGGGGGGGGGGGGGGGGGCAAGGGCACGGCATGCTCAGGGGGGGGGGTAGGAAGGGCTGGAGTGGGGGCAGGGCCAGTGGCAGAGCCAGGGGTTGAGCAGTGAGCGCCGCCCGGCACATTGGAAAGTTGGTGCCTGTAGCTCCAACGGAGTCGGTGCCTACACAAGGAGCCGCATATTAACTTCTGAAGAGCTGCGTGAGGCTCTGGAGCCACAGGTTGGCCACCCCTGCTCTACAGCAATGGGGAACTGGGCAGGGGTTCTCCTCTAAACAGGCTGGGATCCCCTGCAGCTCTCAATCGCCCAAACCATCCCTCCCTTCCCCCCACTAACCACATCCTCCCCACTTACCAGGTGTCCCTTAGGCCAGTGGTTCTCAAACTAGGGCTGCTGCTTGTTCAGGGAAAGCCCCTGGCGGGCCAGGCCGGTTTGTTTATCTGCCGTGTCCGCAGGTTCAGCCGATCGCGGCTCCCGTGGCCAGTGGGGGCTGTAGGAAGCGGTGCGGGCTGAGGGACGTGCTGGCCACCCTTCCTGCAGCCCCCATTGGCCTGGAGCGGCGAACCGTGGCCAGTGGGAGCTGCGATCGGCCGAACCTGCGGATGCGGCAGGTAAACAAACCGGCCCAGCCCGCCAGGGGCTTTCCCTGAACAAGTGGCAGCCCTAGTTTGAGAACCACTGCCTTAGGCCACTGAAATGTTAAATCGATCCATCACTTGGGGCGTGAAAAATCCACACCCAAGTGATATAATTAAGCCAGCCTAACCCCCAGTGCAGACTGTCCTATGTCAATGGAAGAATTATTCCATCAACCTAGCTAGCACCTCTTGGGGAAGTGAATTAACTATGGAGATGGGAGAATCCATCCCGTCGCTCTACTTAACAGCTACACTGAAGTGCTACTGTGGCACAGCTCCAGCACTGCTGCTGTGCCACTGTAGCTCTTAGTCCTATTTCTCCAACCCCCTGTGGTGTAGTTGGAGGTGCTGTGGAGTTGGAGGTAATTATGATGAGTATTGTGTGTTGGCCTGGATACTGGGATATTTACTATATGACTATTCTGGTTTACTTTAATAGGGGGCTGCAAGGAAAAGAAGCAGGTAGGGAAGAAGAATGGCTCAAGATGAGCCACTACTTGGTAAACCCTTTAGGACTGTTAAGAGACAATGTCAGAATGATTAGCTTTGAATATTCTGCCACCTAGCTCCAGCCAATTTATAGACCTGGCTTAGACTAACAGGATCAGAAGATCAAATGGACTGGAGCAGTTAGAAAACGGTCTCTGTCTCTGGGGGGCATGCTCTTAAGGTGATTGTTAGGGGTAGAGACAGAAAGAAGAGGACCCTGCTGGGGTGTTTGAAGAACTTAGACCTGACCACTGGTGGATGGAAAGTCTTTATGCGAGACACAGGGGTGAAGACTATTTGTTATTTTAAAATCCTTTTGCTCTTTTTCTTTTACCCTACTGCAAAATAAAACAGCCTTCTTCAAACTAAAGTGGTGTTTGTCACTGCACACCACTGATCCCAGGCTCCCAAAGGTGTCTGCACTCAGCCTGACACGCTAGGGAAGCACAGTTGATATGCTGGGTATGGTAGCCCAAGGCCCAGTCTAGAAGAGGGAGAATTGCAGAAATCAGCTCCAGAAAAGGCATGAGGCTGAAACCTTGGGAGGAGGGGAAGGCACTCAGAGACACTGGGAAGGGGACAGAGATATAGCTAGCCCTGTCACTCACCAGGACACCCATTCCCCTTCCTCCCACTGCTCTCAGCGCTCCCTGCTTTGTGGTACTGCAGGGCCCCAGCTCCCATCATCTCATCCCCTCCACTGCTCCCTGCTCTCCCTTCTCCCAAAGACCCCTGAATAGACCTCACCCTGTCTTTCATCAGTGAATGAGCCCAGCTGTCACACTCTCCATGCATTTGGGAAGTGATTACGGCAGAGCGCCAGCTCTGACACTGTTACAGTTAAGCACCATGTTCTGTTTAAAAGTTGAGTATTCTAACTGCTCTGAAATGCACATGTGCTTGAATTGTCTTGGCATTTGCTACTCTCTATGTGCATGCAGGGTACGGTTAGTGGTTTAAATTTGGGGTTATTTGAGCAAGCAATTCCTTAGGACCCACCCCCACCCCAAAACCCCCCTAAAAAAACCTTTTTACAAAATCCCCTTGTTCCTACAACATTTTGCACACACACAGGCTGAAACTATACTTCTAAATGTTCCCCGACTGATCTCATTTCCTTGGCATTTATCTAAGCTAGTACATGGTAATCTGCTGTAGGGCCTGGGTTACAATAGTTTGGGGAACCAAATACATTGGCATTTTGCCTAGTTCCTAGTCACGTACTGTGGAACTATTTCCCCGGATTATCAGAGATAATACTGACCTAAATAACTGAACACTGTGATTATATTAAGTTACTTAAGTTAGTTTGGGTTGTGTTGTTGTTCACCATTTCAGACTGGAGATTTCAAACCACTACTATTTCTTTGGTAGCATATCCCATAACTGGGAGTATTCGCTCTAGCTGACCGAGCTGCATTTGAACTTTCCCCATGTCATCATGGAGGGGTGAGGGGAAACCATAAATAAAGGAAGAAATCACTATTGAAGCAAATGGTCATTTGTCTCACAGTCCTCAATAAATCTGAACTACACTCTGCCAAAGAAAACCAATATTCAGTTGTGTGACCAAACAGCCTTTAGGAAAGAGAGAAAAATCTACAGCTCAGAGAGATATAAGACATTTTCTGTTTCAGATATAATGAGATCCTATTCAACTTAGGCCTGGTCTACACTACGAGTTTAGGTCGACTTTAGCAGCGTTAAATCGAATTAAGCCTGGACACATCCACACGACGAAGCCCTTTTTTTCGACTTAAAGGGCCCTTTAAACCGGTTTCTTTACTCCGCCTCCGACGAGGGGATTAGTGCTAAAATTGGCCTTTGGGAGTCAGATTTGGGGTAGTGTGGACGGAATTCGACGTCATTGGCCTTCGGGAGCTATCCCACAGTGCTTCATTGTGACAGCTCTGGACAGCACTCTCAACTCAGATGCACTGACCAGGTAGACAGGAAAAGCCCCGCGAACTTTTGAATTTCATTTCCTGTTTGCCCAGCGTGGAGAGCACAGGTGACCACGCAGAGCTCATCAGCACAGGTAACCATGATGGAGTCCCAGGATCGCAAAGAGCTCCTGCATGGACCGAACGGGAGGTACGGGATCTGCTCGCCATATGGGGAGACGAATCAGTGCTAGCTGAACTCCGTAGCAGTAAACGAAATGGCAAAATATTAGAAAAGGTCTCAAAGGCCATGAAGGACAGAGGCCATAACAGG